ACAACAACAGCTTTATATATGACTTGATTCAAAATACCTCCGATAGACACTGAACCTCTCTCCCACAAGAAACAGCGTACATCAATACATGTACTTGTTGATCCTTTTTTTCAATTTTTTTAAAATATGTGTACAGTAAACGTGACCTTTGGCTATTGTATGAGTTTGTCTGCGTAGGTACATGTTGTCTAGTCATGGTAGATTCCTCAGGAATATTGGCGTCACGCGTTAATTTTTTTAATTCACGCGAATTTTTCGATGCGAATTTTTCAAGGGCTAACGTGTTTTTCTATTAAAAAAAAAAAGTTTAGAGAGAAGCGAAGAAAAATAAGGAGAAACATAAAGGTTTTGACGTTATTAGATCATTTGTTGGTGCCCAGTCTTATTTTTTTCATAAATATCCCCCTCGTTTTAGGTACAAAGTGACAGTTTTAGCAAAGGAGTACGCCTCCCCAGTCTCCTCCGGTAAACGTATCACTTCTGAGATCGCTTGCGCTCTGTGGGAGTGGCCTCCAGCGGTCTGTGGGCGACACACAAACGAAAAGTCACTGGATAGAGCCAAGGTTTGGTGCATGGATGGCTATGCCAAGTTCATGGAGTTCGCTATGAACTCAACGCTGAAAATATTTCAATCGTTGCAGGAATAAATGAGTTGAAATCATCTTTTAGTGTCCTATTATTTCATCTAAGTGTTCACCATAACAGCCAACAAGCGGTGGATATACATCACCGCTTTGCGCCTCGGTTAATGTATCCCCCACAAGTCACCTTCCCTTCGGTGAACAGTAGTTAGTTAGGTATATCAAGTGGAGGGTTTGGTCATGATGAAACATCAAATTCTGAATTATTTAAAAGAATTATGTAACGATCAAAATGGGGACTTATTAGCACTTTGTCGGGCATTGTAGAGCACTTTGAGGACTTAAATGGAGTTTTTGGCGGGCTGAAATGTATTTGATGCCGCTTGCACGCTCGTGTGATTGTTCAGATCGTTTTGTTGTCATTTTTTTAAATGTTTATTTTATCAATGCCCTCCAAAGTACTAAAATGACTCTGATTCGGGCCCAAAATATATTTATGCCCGCGAACATAAACTCTATTAAAATGTTTTGTTTCTTAAGTTAATTATATTGACGTGATTAACTTACACACATCTGTGACTTTACAATAAAAACTGGAAAAATTCACTGGTTTTTGTTCACTTTCTAGCAACTTCCGAAAGAACACACGGAACAAATTTATACACCACCATTAAACTGACTTCTGTTCATAACCCGCACCAACTCTTGTTTTATCTTCGTTGGCATACAATGTTAAAAGAAAAATATTTCGTAATATTACATTTTTCCGCTTATGTGCTTTTATTAATGGAACTTGCACTTACGAAGATCACGTTCAAACTGTAATGTTTTCATTCAAATACGTAACAAGAAAATGACTAAGGGGAATTTTTCCGTAGGAGCACGTCATATACCGAAAATGATGAGATACAACGGAATTGATTGATCAATAGGACGAAAAAATATGTAATAAAATACATCATGATAGGCAATACATCCCATGGTATCCACAAAATATTTTTCCTGACCGCCTTCGAATGAGTTAAATGAGCGTTCTGTTTGATTCAGTTCGAACAGAAGTCGTGTTCCTGCTCATATGATTGGAATTTTTTCCGAGGTTTCCTAGAAACAACGGCTGACAATCTTTGAGAGGTGGAGCTCAATATAACCACCCAGGATAAAACGGAAATACTTATTTATAAGTATTTTAAAATTTTACGAAGTTTTGTTTTAATGTGAGCCAAGAAAATTTCATCACTTGGTCTTGTCTGGCTTTGGGTCGTTCCTCTGTGCGTGATCATGATGGTTCAAAAAATTTATTTTGACAAGAGCCAGTTTCTGATTTATCATGCTATATCACCCTTTCTGACGCCCGAAATCAAGAGGAAAGAAATTTTCACCTCTTCCGCCTCTTTTCCTTGTTCTCTTTCATTGTCAAAATTTACCATTGCGAAAACAGGAAAATTACGCTAAATGCAACATTTTAAAGCTAAGGAAGTTGAAAGCCATAAAACAACCTTGAAAACTTGTCCTTGATCCCTTTGGAAATAAAGAGTATATTAGGGCCCACGTTTTGAGGATTTTACCTTAGCGTAAGACGGACCTGAGGGAAAATGTATAAACATTAAAACTTTCTGCAAAGCTACCAAACCAAATCGAAACATTTTGGCTATTCAGTCCTCGGTTAGCTTAATCGTGCTTTGAACAACGCAGCCCAGTTTGGAACCTGCGTCAACTCAAAAAATGTCGAGAAGGTGAAGTGATACCAGCGGTCATCTTTGATACTGCGCCAAATAATTAAAAATACACTACTGAACGTGTCTGAGATCTGCATGACATGAAACACGGGGAGTGAGTTTATAATGTTCAACTCCGTAGTTTTACCAGAATATTCCCCTGTCGTATTTAGTTTAGGCACTCACGGAGCTTTTTGAATGGTGTGTGCCTAATACCATAACGCATTTTCTTTAGAATGGCTGACAAGTTTTTTTTCGCGCTGAAAGCAAAATTGAGGTGAATCGTTTGGCCGCTCTAAGTAATTGAGAGAGGTGAGAACAGCCTGAAAACACAGAAAAAATTCGAATTATAAAATGATTTTGCATTACCGAAGAGATATAACTGTGAGTATTAGGTTGAATGAGCCAATTTAGACATATTCTGCGAAAACATTACTTTCAAATCCACTCGGCCTTGAAATCTCTGTCATTAAATCTTATTCAAGGATGATTTGATTTTCTTTTCGACGAAAATACCGATAATCACAAAATTGCTCAGTTAGTATTTTCTCAAATTCAATAAATTTTATAATTTGTTTTGCATCACTGACGTGCAGCTCACTTCAGGATCAGAAGGGGGCAACAGTTGAAGAGAGTCGGACTCAATTGACATGCAGCTGTTTTCTTGAAAACTCATTTTTTAGATTTCTACTCTTACCGTAAGAATCTTTTATTGTATCTTTAGTAACGTTTATTTTTAGTTACCTTTGTACTTTACCGTGCATTGATTTAAAAATGATATAGCTCGACCTGGTGAACCGTTAATCAAACAGTCAGTTCTCAGATCTCAGCCAGACACGTAAACGGAAAATTGTGATACGATAGGTCACGCTTGGTTAAACAGGAGAGCGAAACGGTGAATGACTTCCTTGTTTTGATTTTTCTGGGTAAGTTTAAAACGCATAATTTTCTCACTTTGATGTTGACAAGTGATCAAAATAAATGATTGCAAAGCTGTATCTTTTAAAGACATGCTTGACTGAAGCTGCCGCTCAAGAAATCAAAGCGGATAGGTTACGGTTGATCTTATCCATGCTTAATCGCACGCAAGAACGTGACTTGACATTGATATTGAAATTAAAAGAAGAAAAAAACCCTTTCGATAGGTAAGGGTCTTTGGCATTTAGGAATCTTTAGGCACTGCATACATGGCTATATACAAAACATGTAGATCTGCACGTGTTTTTTCGGCCCTAGAAATATAAATGCGAATTCTGAGCATGTTCGGGTTCATCTGTTAATTGCTATTGGTTATGAACAAGTCAATAAGTACTCGACGCTGAAGAATATTGGAGTGGAGGGCTTTTAAACAACTATTGAGAATGCCGATACAGTTTCCACAGTCAAAAACCTCAGGTTCTCGATCCACTAAGGTAAAACTGGCTTTTGCCATTTCAGAAATTTCTGTACTCGTCTTAATTCTTAGGTTATAAAGTGAGTGTCACACTTTTTCGTCAACTTGAGCGCTGTGCACATAAAAACTTGTACTCCTATTACCTTCATGACGTACAACACATAAACGGAAAATGAAAATTCATTTTTAAAAATCAAACAATTTTATCTATACAGAAAAATGAAACAAAACGAGTACTCCTGGAAACATTTCTCCATGATCGCCATAATTTACGTCTCTCTGTTAACAAGTATCAAATTATTCAAAGGATAGATGAAAACATCATTTTATTTTCATCAACACCCATCTTAATGTTTCCGTCTCTTCTGCGGAATTGATTTTCCATCTAGCATTTTTCCTGTGTGAATTTTGCTTTAACTAAAGTCCTGTCTTGTACAGAGGTCTTCGCGCGCTCCACGCGTGTTGGTGATTGGGGGCGGAGTCGTAGGTATGACGTCAGCATTACAGCTTCTGCAGAAAGGTTGCAAGGTAACAGTTTTAGCCAAAGAGTTCGCCTCCCCAGTCTCCTCTGGTAAACGCATCACTTCTGAGATCGCTGGCGCTTTATGGGAGTGGCCTCCAGCGGTCTGTGGGCGACATACAAATGAAGAGTCACTGGAGAGAGCCAAGGTTTGGTGCATGGACAGCTATGCCAAATTCATGGAGTTGGCTATGAACTCAAAGGAAACTGGAGCTTTCCTCAGACAATCTATCTTCTACTTTAAGGACAAGGTAAATGCCCAGCCTGTTAGTTGCATTGCTTGCGTGTAAACTTGTAAACGAGCCATTTGGAAGTGAAGAGGCCTGATAAAGACTTTTCTTGCATGAGCTTGAATGGGAATTTGGTGCCCGCTTACCTAAGGGAGGAGTGGAGAGGGGAAGGGGGGGGAGGGAGGGGGTACCGAGTCCGATAAATTTTAAGATAGACTGAACTTTTTTTTTTAATTTCTAATGGGCCTCTGATCTCTTTTTTTCTCTAAAAATCGAAGGTTAAAGATCTTCCTCAACAGTTGGAAAAGATGAATGAACTGAACCATTTGCCAGGATTCCGTCATGACGCCAAACTCATCGAAGAAACTGGTACAGTTGCAACCTTTTCACAATAAACTTAAGAATTTTAACAGTAGAATGTGAATAGAATGTGCTCGCGAGTTCTCTTCACCTTCGGCTCATTCCTATCTCTTTGGTATTTGCCTTCCCCGTCACATAACAAATTAACCACAATTTGATTGATACATAATTGTTGATTCGAATCGCCGGTAGCTTCTAGTGACCCAAAACTGAGCGAATCAACCATCTCCGTCCTAAGGCCGAAGATTATTTCCTGTCTTAGAGCGCTTTTACAGACTGAAAAATGCGGAAGTTCCCTTTAACTCCCCTTCCATTATTGAAAGGTGCAATGTGTCTTAAACGTTTGTGTGACTTACCAAATGACCTGCCATTGATAACGTTTTCTTTCCATTTAGCTGTAAACACAGACACTGGTGTTGTGGACGCATATCAACATATGGCTCCCATGGTTGACACAGTCACCTACATGCAGTGGCTTTACAAACAGTGTCGTGACAAAGGCTGTCGCTTTGTACACGATGAGATTCACGGATTGTTGAGAGATCAGGCTGAAGACTTGAAAAAGAAATACAAAGCTCAGCTGATCTTCAACTGCTCTGGACTCAACGCCAAAGAACTGGCAGGAGATGAAGATGTCTATCCTCTGAGAGGTAAATAAAACTCGTGAAACGTGCAAGCTGAGATCAGTTCAGTTGTGATATGTTTAACAGAATTACGTCTCTTCCTTGATTGTGAAAAGAAAGGTGTTGAATCCGTATCCTTGTCCTTCAAAATCTCTCTCATTGCAGGGGTGATTCTTAAAGTGAGGAACGACGGAAGTTTAATGCCAAAACTCAATCACTCCATGTGCATATCTATAATCAAGGAGTTCGATGAGTCAGATAAAGAAGGACAAAGCTTCGTGTTCATTTTGCCTCGAGGTGACGACAAACTATGGCTGGGTGGAATGGTACAACCTCACCAGTGGGACAGAGATCTAACGCTCAATTATCCACCTATCAGAAAGATGTTTGAGAAAGTAAAGGAGTTCTATCCACCCCTTCGTAACTACGGAGACGATGATGTAGAGGAAGTGTTGGTAGGCCTGCGTCCTGCTCGCCATGGCAACGTTCGTCTGGAGTGGGATCCTGTGTGTCCTTCTCTTCTGCACAACTATGGACATGGGGGCTCGGGTGTGACTTTCTCATGGGGCTGTGCTATTGAAGCCAGTGCTATGGTGGATCGTGTTCTTAAAAGGCCACAGATTTTGTATTCAAAACTTTGATCCTTCCAACACTCCAAAATAGAAAAAAATCCTTTGTAATAGTCCATAAAATGTATTTGATTAAAAAAATGACATATATCATAGTTGAGTAAACAGAGAAAGTATCAATTGTTATATTTATTAATAAGCCATGTGTAGACATAATTATGGAGAAGTCTGGTGTCACACAAATTATTATTTTATTTAGACTGGCAACAATTCGATGTCTATGGAGGAAATAGCAAACAACGATACCATGATTTTTTTGATATTCTATTGCAATAATTATTATCTTATAGATATCTTGGTTGTATATCAGCAGCTGGGCAACTGCCCACCTACCCCTCCCCTAACCCAACATTAACCCTAACTTGTTATCAATTGATTGTTGTTGGGTTAGGGGAGGGGTAGGTGGGCAGTCGCCCAGATACTGATATTGATCGAGCTTTTGTTATATCCTGTGTGCAGCTCTGGCCTCCTAAGTTTGAACTGCAAAATTGATTATCTTTCTCGAGGATTCAGAGTCGATAATTTGACTATGCTTTAAATTTTGCAACGTCAAAAGCCCTTAAATTACCAGTCATATGAAAACATGTTAAGATTTTCTAAATATTGTATTAATTCATCATATAGAATCTACATTTAACCACGAGAGTTTTTGTGCTCGTGTTGCTTCATCAAGATACTAATTGTACTTTAATTTTGAATCCGATTTATTCAAAAATAAAATATTGTTTATCTTAACAGATTAACAGTGTCTTCAATACGATGCGAAAATTTTGCTGACCTCAACATTTTTACTGAGTCTCAACATTCTTGAATTTTTCCTGCGATGAAATGGAGAAATAAGACCCTCCCTATGGATTTTTTGAAGTCACGCCCAAACCAGCTTCATTCGCCTTTCGGTGGCTTTTCTTTTCCCTGGATATCTATCCCTTCGCAAAATATCCTTTGCCTCCTTCCGAATATTCCGAGACCGAATATCTTGCCAAGCTAGTTTCGAGTGCTCTGGCGATGATCTGTGCATCAGAACCTGACAGGAAGGTTCCCCCGAATTTTCTTTCTAAGGGGGGGCTGACTCCTTTTGCCAACCCCTGTTCCGTTGCCTATTATATCAAATTAACATGCTCTGTTACAGAGTGAGAGTAAGAGCTAGTACAAACACAAATAAGAAATATCGAATATTGTCTTGTAGGGCGCTCTAAATTCCCCTTTCTCCGAGTTTACTTGAGTTTTTGGCCCTGGCTTCTTACGGTCTTAATAGCCCTCTTCTTTAGCAAGGCTTCACGCTCTGGGAAGACTGAGAACTGGCGCAGAGCCATAACATTCCTCACCTCCGGTCCCTAGGGGCCCAACTGCAAGTTGCAGGGCCAAATCTCTTTCAAAGCTTTCTGACCAAATCAGGAGATAGTAAAATTGCTTCAGTAAGTAGCTATGAAAAACTTATCCAATTTCTAAAGTCATTGAATGATTCCTGTCTTCTTCTGTCATTGGTCTAAAATTGTGAGCGATAAGTTTGCCCTTTTCACTAACGTTGTCATAGTAACAAATCCTTGGCGAAGATGGCGACGATAACTATGCGAATAAGAGGAGCAAAGTAATCGGTAGCGAGGAAGTTTTAAGCCCAGATGGCTAAATTGCTCGCGTATTGGAATAATTAATAGAAATATTTATTTGAAAGTGATTCAAGCTTCGCCAATATGGATGACACACGCATTGAGTGGATGAGAAACAAGGTATACCTCGGACTTGGAATTACAGACCCTGAGGTGTTCGACGATTTGTTGTCTCGAGAAGATGGACAATTTGAAAACGAAATCTTAAAATTTCTCAATGAAACTCCCAAGGAAGGATGCACTATTTTATTTTATTCTATGCTGAAGGAAGAAGAGGAGGAAATTGAAGTTGAAGCGGGTTAGTAATTGAAGATAATCTTATGATAGTATACTTACAATTGCGCGCCATTTAATTTTGTATCACAACAAGACGTTGAAAGGGCTCTGTTATTGCTAGCGATTAGCGACTTTTTGAGATCCCTGACAATTCTTCTTCTCAAAGAAATGAAACTTAATGAATAAAGGGTGTTTGTAACAGCTGTTTAGGTCTCCATTCCAACGGTTATTCGAGGTCGTTCTCACTGATAATCCCGCCGTAATGAAATATAAGTTGACACTGTTTGTCAAAGATTGACCTTCATGACAATTAGGCATAATTTCTGGAAGATGAAAGAGTCCTACAACTTCATACTTTCTGATATGAAATCTGTTTATTTTACCCAACCATAATTAAGCTGCTTGATTTATCACACGTTAATAATGTTGTTTGACAAAGTCGGTATTTATATTTGAGTAATCACAAAGATCACCCCCAGAGAAGGGGGGTTTGGGGTTGTTGATGAGATGACTCGGTTTTACTTGTGTTGACAATGTAAAAGGCCACTTTAAAAAGTTTCAAAAGCTGACATATTCAGCGCTACCCCTTCATCAGAGGGAATAGAATGATGAGCGAACTTCTCCGAAGTGATCCTTTGTTGTCATTTTTGATCTGTCTGTCATTGACTAAAGCTCTGATCAAAAAAGATTACAGTTAAAGTGAAACTATATTGATAAATTACAGAATTTTACTTTAAATTATGTCATTAGAACCAGAATTACCAGAAATAACAGCTGATGGTGATGAAGAAGTTGAGAAGACCTCAATAAATGGTGCTGAAGGGACTGCTGAGGGTGATGATTTGATCATGGAGAGAGTTCCATCTGCAAATTCAAAGGCTGCAGAGGAAGTTTCTGTCAAGGATGGTTCACAGGCTGCAGAACCAGCCCAGACCAATCCAGAGACTGGGGAGGAGGTTGCAACAGCCTCAGGTGAGGGAGGAGAAGGTGATGAAGCAGAGCTAGGAGAGGAGAATCATGCCACACCTCTACCACCCAGGACAGTAAGTTTGCTTTGGATATCTTGTTGTTGAAAATTAATTTCATGTGAAAATGATTTGAAACTATGTACTAATTTGATATGATTTCTCCTTTGTTGCAAGTGTTATCCAAATATAAAGCTTAGAACAAAGTTTGACCAACAAACAAGTACATTTTCTGAATGAACAATAGACAGTCAATCAACATCTTTTAATTAATTGCAGAAAATCATTATACAAAAAGTTCTGAGGACAGTCATGTATGTTTGCTATGAACACCTTCCTGAAGAGTTTGCGGATGAAAATGCCTTCTACTTTTTACGGAATACCACTGGCCCTGTTCCTCTGCCATCAACGCTTGAGGAAGCAGAAGAAATTCTCCCTCCCTTATTTCAGTTTGGATCACATTACGGACCCTCGCTACAGATGCTGGAGCACCTTTTAACACTGGTGTATATACCCCTTTTGTCACACAATGGTCAGCGGAATGAGTCCTCTTCAGATAGTGGGAGTCACAAGAGTAGTGCTCATACTGGTGATGAACAGGGATCAGAGGAAAGTCGATCAAGGGTTATCTTAAGAGATGAATTTCTAATGAACATGCAGAAATTTTCTACGCACATCAGCCGAACAATTCACCAGTTGGAGGGTGATATTCGATTGGAGATGCCTGAAGTCATTCTTGGTGATGACATTACAGAGATGGTAAAAGATTCAGAACTAGTAACAATGCTAGAGGAAACCCTGCACAACTGGGAAGTGACAATTTCATCAGCCCTGGAGATCCAGTTAAAGAAAACACCCCAAGGAAATGGGCCTTTGGCTGAGATTGATTTCTGGAGAGAGAGAAATGCTACACTGAGTGCAATTACTGAGCAGTTAAAACTGCCGACTGTTAACAAAGTTGTGGCTATTTTAACAAATGTTCACTCTGAAAGCCTTGCCAGTTTTGAGTATCACCGAGCAGAACTCACGAAATATTATACAGAAGCTAAAGACAATGTGCGATTTCTTTCTACCCTTGAGAGACATTTTAAGAACTTGGCACATGGTGCAAGTTTTAACATAGTCCTTGAAACAATACCTTCAATGATGAATGCCTTGAGGATGGTGTGGATTATATCGCGACATTACAACAGAGATGAGAGAATGGTGCCGTTAATGGAGAGAATTGCTTGGGAACTTAGTGAGCGAGTGGCCAAGATTGTCAATGTTCGCACTATTTTCAAGTGAGTATGATTACTGTATGTAATCATTAGAAAGTGCATTATCATTATTGGTTAAAAAAAGTGAAGGGTGTAGGGGGGTGGCAAGGGCAGTTGCTTCCATCACTGAATATGCTTGATACTCCTTTGCTCAGAGGGGAACTGAAAACTGTTCCCCTCTGAGCAAAGATAAGGAGCATTGTGATGTGAGGTCAGCAACTACAGCATACAACTTCTTTCAAAGTGGCCATAACTGAAATCTCTCCTTTTAGAGAACCACCCTACCTCATGAAGCAAAAAACCTCAGAGGCCAAGAAGACCTTGGAAACATGGAAGGAGTCTTACTTTGATGTGAGAGCCAAGATAGAAGCTTCAGGGAGAGATGCCAGATGGGAGTTTGACAGAAAGCGTTTGTTTGAGAGAACAGATCATATGGCTTCAATCTGTGAAGATTTGAAGGAGGTTGCAACAGTGATGGAAGAGTTTTATAATATCTTTGGACCTGAACTGAAGGCAGTGACGGGAGATCCTAAACGTATCGAGGATGTGTTGAAGCGGGTTGATGGACTAGTGAAACCCATTGAAAATGTAAGATTTATTCTGCTTTGAGATTTTGTGTCTGCTTTCAAGTTTTCCCTTGAGTTTTGTATATTGGTCCTTGATGACTTTGTAGTGAGAGGGAAGGGGGAACTTGAGGTCACTTAAGTGGATAAATTAGCCTACTTTTCAGGGTGTACTGACAGCCAAAATGCTGTTTAGACACTTTTTGCCTGAGTGTTGCAAAAATTAAGACCCAATATTGGCCAGTACGCATTGTGCGCTTCTGTTTTTGTTATGGTTTTCACAAGAGCAAGGCTTGTATTTTTTTCTTGAAGCTTCTGGAATAAATTCAACATCAAGTCAATGGTTGTCGATGGCCAATGTTACATGTAATGCGTACTGGTCAAAACTGGGTCTTTAAAACCAATTGAAAGTAATAACAATAGCTAACCACAACAATGGTAATTATCACCTGGAGGCAAAGAGAACTCAAGAAGGCACAGATCAATGGCCTTAAATATTAAAAAATCAAGTCATACTTGCTGTTGGACTTGCATCTGATTAGTTGAGAGGTTGATCTTGGACCAAAAGGAAAGAAAAACCTTTGAAACTTCTTCATTAGATTTTGATTTTTTTTTTACCTAATTAACAATTAAATTAATTTTGTACGTTATGAATATTTAGGTATTAAGATATATGGTCTCACTGATGACAGAATTTATATTAAATTTACTGGAATCACTATAGATAGCCCTTTGCATAAGCCCTGTAGAGTTCCCTAGTCTACATTGCCTCTCTGATTTTTTACTAATAAATTATTCTTTTAATTTGTATATTTGTAGCAAACTAATGAAGCAAATTCAACTGAAATTTCCCTAAAAATTTGAGAGAGTTAAGAGGTTGTTTATATTTTTTAGGTTGGATTTGATGCCTTCAGCCTTAGACATGCTGCAAGTTGGCGAAATGTGATGGACTGGTTCCACAGAGAAGTTACAGCCATTGAAAATGAAGCTAGACACTTCATTGATGACTCGTTTAAGACACTGAGGTCTGCTGAGGGAGCCTTTGACATGCTTTTGAATTTCAGACACATTAGATCACGGGAAGCTATCAACTCACAAATGATGAAGAAGTTCAACGACATCTTGGTGCAGTTTGGAAAAGAGGTACATACATTTTTATGAGTGCATAATTGTATTTAGCCTGTTAACTCTTTAGAGTGACTAGCATCTAAATTCTCCTTACAATATCACCCCTGAATCAAACATATATGAAGGTCATAAGAATGAATGAAATGATCACCAACTAAAGCAGCTTTTGATCTTAAAACAAATTTTCCTTGTCAGCACCTTAGAAAATGTATAGAGAACAGTTTGGAGAATATGCATACTGATGTTGGGTTGCAAGGGTGAAGATGCAGCATGAAAGATACTGATATGAGACAGGTTCTACCTTTTAATCTATCTAGAATCTTTTTTTTTATTTTGGCTTTGAAATTTATCCAGAAGTACAGGGATTATCACTACCCATTTAGATTCTGGATCATGTTGTCTTGACTCAAATCCTTGTTGGAGTTTCAGAAGTCATAACTAACTGCCCATTTTGAAAGGAGTACTCATCATAGTGACCCAGTGAGTACTATGCTTAAGATTTGTGTTTTCTATTCCAAGGTGGATGCTATGTATGCACTGTTCAAAGCCAACGCAGACAAACCTCCAATCTTCAAGAATCAACCTCCTGTGGCGGGAGCCATCAGCTGGGAACGTTCTCTCTTTCTTCGCATAAAGCACACCATCTTGAGATTTCAAGAGATGGAGGACATGCTGAATTCAGAGCAAGGAAAATTGGTAAGACTTGGCAATGAGATAGTCAGCAAAGGTTTTTCACAAAATTGTTTGAAGGTAAAGTGTGCCATTGCATTGTGGGGGACTCCTTGATGGACTGATTAAGGCACTGGTCCCTGGATGGAAAGGTCAAACACTTAACCCTTTAACTCCCATGAATGACCAAGACAAAAATTCTCCTTACAATTTAAATACAATATATAGCAGATAAATTATGAGAATTAAGAAAAATATCAATTAGGGGGGATTCTTCCAAATTCTTAGAACTATTGTTGTAAGAATTGTGTAGAGATTTTGATTTAAGAGAGGATTTGGGGAGTGAAAGGGTTAATTCTCTTCCCTCAAAAGTGCAAATGGGCACCAGCAAAATGTGAAAATCAAAAATCTGAAAGAAAGCTGGGAAAGGTAAAGGGGGGAACCTTGTGCTGGAGTGGCATCTCATCTCCAGTGGGAGGGGAGGGGAGGGGAGTAGCAGTGCTTCCAGTCACTTCACACTACTGAAACTGGGTTAAGTTGTGGCAGGATGGACTTACTGGCTTGTAAGCTGGTTGAAGTGTAATTACATTTGCCACCTGGTTGCTGACCCATCTTTTAAATGTCTTAGCAGAAAGTCCAGGCTATTAACACTTTTTCTCCCTTACATCATAAAAATATAGCTCAAGAATCTGATCATTCATCCATCAAATCAACGTTTGTCGTTCAGCAGTGGTCGCTATTGACACAGGGTTTTACTTCATGTCTTAAATCACATTCAAGAATCCTTGCAATCCATTGGTTTCCCTTCCTCATTATTGTTTACTTCTTGTTTCCAGGCAAGCAAAAAGTATCTTAGTGTGGCACGGCAGATGAAAGAATATGAAGACAGAAAATATGAAGCATGGAAAGAACAGGTTGAAGCAAATCTCTTGATCTACCTTAAGAAAAATCTGTTGATCAAGCCCTCAGCAAGCTCTGCAACCACACACAGAAGTGCTGCTGATGAAGGAAACTCTGAGGATGCATCTGGAAGCCTAGCTGCAGCAGTGCAGGCTCAAGGTAACATTGTTGTTTTTTTTTAAATTTTTTTTTCCTGCTGTAGGTGTCTAAGCATGTAGACTTTGTGTGCTCTCACAGAGTCTACATGCCGCTAGTTACTCTTTCAGAGGTAAAAGTCTTCAAGTGTATGGTGATTTCTCTAAGATTTCTGGAACCAAAATGTACATCTCTTATTTTGATACATTATACAGTGCCAGTAACAAGGTTACAACCAGTCTCTGATTCTAGAAGATGATGCTGTTTCCTTTACTAAATTAGATTTAAACCAATTTGAATTTGAATTTCAATGTTTTATGTTTCAAAAGGAGTAAGAGAAAGGGGTAAAGAGAAATGATTGGGCTGGGATTACAGCAAAATGAATTGTGGAATACATTGTAAAGATTACTTTCAGATATTACAAATGAAAATAAACTTGTGGAATCTTTAAAAATCACTTTGCCAGGTGAAGCAAAACCCAGGCAATCTGCAAATGGTTTTGACACTTGCTTGAAAATTGGCTTTATTTCTCATTTTCAATTATATATAGATGGACATTGAATTTTGAATTTTGTACAGCTGAGATGAATCCTGGCAAGTTCTAAGTTTGTTGTTGGTATTTATTTCAGCCTCTCATCCCAACCTACAGTATGTGGCAGATTTTGCACCAGAGTTAGGTTTAATCATTATGGAGACAAAGTACTTAGAGCAGCTAGGATTCCAGGTTCCTGAGCTGGCCAGAAATGTTGCTTTGCAGGTATTTTGTCAAATAATGTCACTGAACTCTGTTTGAAATGAATATGCATGTACATGGATGTGATGTTTCTGTACAATCATGTATATCAATAAATTTTGTGATGATCACAAAAACATTCCTATTTTTAGCAGTCTTTACAAGTGACCTTGACAAGCTGTCTCTGAGTCCCACTAATAAGCCCCTCTCTTAAACTTTAAGTTTCTAATAAACCCCTAATTCTGATAAGCTCTTTCTCCATTAAGTCCTCATCTCTATAAAGTCTCTCTTTCATAAGCCATCTCTCTTATGAGCTCTTCTCTTTAACCCTTTAACTCCTAAGAGTGATAAGCATATAATTTCTCCCAACAGTATCACCCCTAAATCAAACATTAAGTTCATGAGAATAAGGGTAATGATCAGAAACTTAAGAAGCACTTGATTTTTAGAAAAGTTCTCCTTGCAAGCACCATAGGAAATGTAAAGGGAAAGGAATGGAGAACTTGCATACTGATGTTAGGGTGTAAAGAGTTAATGAGCCCTTCTCTCTGACTTGCCCCCCACATCCTTTCTTAAAAACTCTTCAACAGTAGGTTTTTTTTATGTGATTTAGCTATAGTAAGTGTTACAGTGTGAATTATACTTGCAATTAAAAGCTTATGTCAGTGTCTGTTTTATGAAATATGTAAGCATGTGCTTATTGAATGAGTGGAAGGGCTAGACTGGAAAATATTTGGCTGTAGTTCATGATGTACGGATGATGTCGTTTTTGGTGGTCAATAAAACCGGCCGATAAATTCATTGTATAGAAAAGTGACTCGTAATTTCCTCAAAGATGAAGGTAGTTTTGTTTTTCATAGAAAATGACTCCAGGTACAGTGAGGTTTTTTTTTTTTTAAGTGCTCAAATAAACATCATCGATTTATGTGATAATTCATGTTAACAGGAAGAGAAGTACTTGAAATATGTGGATGGCCTGAAGCTTATGTTGGACAGATACCACACTGTTCTTGGAAGTCTCAATGTTGCAGAGGTAACTTTATATTTGAGTACATTAAGTCAAGTTCCTTGTATAAGTTCAAACTATAGCTACCTGTGACCTTACAGTATGGGGAAGAGTTATTGCTTGATTCTAACTAAGACAGGTTTGAATTAGTCATGTTTTCACTGGTTCTTCGACGTAAAATTAGGTTCAAAGAACGTCAGTTATTAATTTCGTAGACATAAACACTTCACCTGCACATTCCCAGGGGGGGCTTGCTGTATAGCTATGCATGAGTAAGTTTATATTTCTTTCTCTTTTTTCACCAGACACAACTTCTAGAAGATCACATCAAAGAGTTAAAACGTGTTCTAAAGCCAGGGGCAAAACGATTAAACTGGAACTCGCTTGGAATAAGTGACTACATCACGAGATGTGGACAGGTAACACGTGAAATATTGAAGCACTTAATCATGTTAATCATCGTTTATCATCGTTAATCTTGAAGTGTCGTAAAACCCGAAACAAAGTTATATCAACGACCAATCAGAAGAAATCAAACTAAAACCAAGCAAACTGCTTAGAGCGCGGGGAAACGCGGGTGATCAACTCGTGATTGGTTTTAGTTTTGCATCTGATTGGTTAAATAAGTGGCGCAAGTTTTTTGGACCAATCACAGAGAGAAGTAAAGAAAAACAAAGAAATCCTGTATTACTTTGGACACTCGGTTGAAGATTATCCCCGAGGAAAGCTATATAAAAGTTTCAAAGCAAGCCAAAAGATTCAGATTTTCTATTTGAATGCTAACTTATGCAGTACTGAAATATCGCTAATATTTGTATTCACAGGCCATCAGCAAATTTGAATCACTTGTGAATCAAATCCAGAAAAATGCCAAAGACATCAACAGCCGCCTGGAGTTGATGGAGAACACAGTGTTATTCAAACAGCCACCGCCTAAAATAGGAGGAGCACTTCCTGATGCAAAGGTTATTAGACTTCTTTACCAAATTCATGTTGACTTTCTAGTTTGCTCATGTTTTGCTCTCGAAATTATGCAATGTAATCGCTTTGATTTTTTGCAAAATTCTTGCAGGAGTTCTTTGAATATCTTGAAAAAGCTCGAGCGGTGGAGCTTGAAAACTTGGCCAGAAGATACAGAGCCGTTGGACCGCTTCTTACGAAGATGGAAGGACTTGTCGTTCATACAAACACTGGCAGATCGACCAAACTACAACCTTACTATGCCTACTGGGAGAATGCAGTCTATGAAGCCCTCACAAAGGTACTTACTTACCGTAACCTAGTTTAACAACTTAGTTTAGCAACTGAAGGTGTAGCCAAAGTCGCCCATCCACGACTTATAAACGGTAGTCATGTGACGAGCTGTGACGTTTTTCTTATATGAAGTTTGTGGTCTAAAGTTAAACTGAGACATACATTTGTGTAAGTTATCATTATTCGTTGTCATTTCCCCCCCAAAAATTTGCGCCTTTGCTCTTGATTGTTCAAGTACTAAGTTCTGGAATGTCCCGTGAAATTAAAAAATTGATTTTCAGCTTTTCTTTTCCTTTTTTTTTGTGGCAACTTATCTTTTATTTCTGGCGACCATTTTATGATTTTAGACCGCCATCTTGGCGACTTTGAAAAAAGTTGAGTTTGGAGCTGTGTTTTTTCAGATGGTGACCAAAAACCTGCAGCAGTTTAACCAGCAACTTCACGCCCGCCAGCCATTGTTCCAGATCGAAACAGTGTTGTCTGCGCCAGAGATTGTCTTATCTCCTCCGGCAAATGAGATCTACAAATTAATCATGCAGTCAATTAGAGACATGGTGGAGGGGTAAGTTTAAAAGATAACATGGATCTTCTCAGTAGTTTTAAACTTGTGTAGTTTTACTTGTGTCTGTACAGATCTTGTCGATCGTAAAGTCTGATCGTTCAGGTGAGATTATTCTTCGAAAGGACTGTTGTCGGCCACAGTTACTGACGTTTTGACAACCTGAGCTAAAGTCATCACCAGAGTCAAGTGAAAGGTTGTTTTTCAGGGGATCATGTCTCTATTAATAGCACTAAGTGGGATTACTCCTTGTTTAAACGTTTGATTCCCTAGAAATGCTTGATCAGTTGGTTTTTGTGCTCAGATCTGGTTTCTATAACGCCTGATGGGTCCTTTGTTCATGATGACCCTTCTTTTTGCTGTTTTCTCACTGGTCAACACATCACCGCCAAACTAGTGTGTAGAATGAATACTTACCCAAAATGTTGGAGGAAAGGAGAGGAGTGAAGCTAAAAGTTTCATTGAAGGAACTGGTAATGCCCCTGCAAACTTCCCTGGAGCCCCTCACATCACATTGGCGAAACCGTCGCACTGACTTAACCTGGCCTAAATTACATTTAGCCCAGGAGTCATTGGCATAACAAGACGCTTTTGTGCAAGCTATACATATTTGATTTCAATGTTGCATTGGTTTCCTTCACAGAACCAGAATGTTTGTTCGCTGGATGAACGGTACGTGCATCGAGACTCCGCCCCAGCACGCTGAGGGTGAGGACGAGCCAGTAGTGTTTAGTTTCTTCACAGATATCTCGGCCAATCCTGCCATCATAGACCTGGTGACTACTCTGTCGAAAAGTGTGCAGAACACTCTGGGAAACTTGAACAAACACCTGACTCGCTGGCGGAGGTACAGGTTGCTATGGAAACTTGACAAGGTTTGTAATGATGTCTGAATATAAATGTTACATTTCTATCAGTGAAAATCGGTCAATTTACCAACAGGAATGCGCCAATCGGATTGACTGAGCTTCTCATCTGGTATTAACCATTTAGGTGCCTTCTCGTTCGTTTTTCTGAAGCTTTTTTTGGACAAAATATATTTTTTCTATGAAACATGTAAGTTTTATTACGTGTTATAGTAATTTCTGATGCGGTTGCTTGTTTTAGAGTGCATTTCGATTGAGTGTAGTGGAACAAAAACGAAAGTAATCCCAATAGCCAATCAGGACAACAGATAATATCACAAGGTGCCAATGAGAACTCAAAGTTAGAACAAGCAAACCGCCTAAAGCGCGGGAAAACGCGGTCGACCAAGTGAGGATTGGCTTTAGTTTCTCATTGGTTGAGAAAGTGGCGCAAGTTTTCTGGATCACCCAGCGAATCACAGCGAAACCAAAGCAATTCCAAATTACTTTTGACACTTAATCAAAAAATTGCTCTACGACTTTTATCTTAAAGGAACCTCGAATTAAAAATCTAGATGTTTTTCATACGTTTCTTACATGTGCATATACTTTTTCGCTCGAGAGTTTCAAGTGTGTGGCTATTTGCGTAGTGTCTATCGACATAACCACTCAGTGTTTATTTATTTTGCACATTTTTGTTATCATAACTGATTTGTTTGTTTGTTGTCCACAAAACAGAGTAACATGGTGGAGAAGTTTGCACAGAAGAAACCAACGTGTATTGCTTATGACGAAAAGTTACAGTTCTACTCAAATCTGGTCATTGAGGTATTAAGATAGATCTGCTTTTTGCAAAGTATACTCTTAGGTTAACGTCACAGTTCTTATAGTCAGCGATCATTCAAGGAAACAGAGGTGAATATCGGTGGATATTTACTTAACAATCAAGCAAGTAGTAAGAGGTTCACTGAGGTAAACAATTGTTTTTATGTCACACAGGTTGAACAGTTAGCGCACCCAACAATTTCATCCTTTCTGACATTATGTCGACACATGGTCGGAAATTAAACCGGTGAAAATCTTGCCGCGCGTTACTCCTTCGCGATTAGGGATTCTTACTACAGTGATTGTAATAACTTTATGATATTTACCAGGTTGGAAACCAGGTCATGACAAAAGACATTGATTTTGTTCGTCTCAACTTGGACCCTCTGGCAACGACTATTCAGGCCAATGCGAGGGCCTGGGTCAAGGAGCTGGGCAAGTTTTTGAACGAATCGGCAAGGGAAGATCTGAATGCTCTCAAGGCAGAAATTGAGGTTTGTTTCAAGAGGATAGCTTGATTTGCCTTCCTATCTTTTATAAAACCCGTTAACGATATCATGGATAATTTGTACTGTTTTCGCTCTAACTTTTCCGGTAAATCATTTGGCACAATGTCATCCGCTACTTAGTTCGTTACTTTGTCGTGACTTGTCATTGGTAATGATCGCTGTTGAGGAGCCCCGAGAAACGATTGCACAAACTAACTTTTGGAGAATTTAGCGAATGAAAAACTTAGTAGGAAAAAAGAACCAACGAATGAAAGATAAAAAGGGTGAATGATAAAGGCGACAGAGTAAATAACAGGCAAATTAAGTGAACAACTGACAGATGAATGATCGAACTAAATAGCGAACGAACTACTTGTTTACCGGATATTTTTCGTGTCGCAGCATTAGTTGAGAAGTTTTTTTTTGACTGTTTTGTTACAGGGTTTAACAGATGATCTCAAGCGAGAACCAGACACGCTAGAAGACTTGAAGTTTGTCCTGCGCGTAATTGCAGACATCAGAGACAAGTCTCTTGATGTAGAGCTTCGCTATGTCGACATTCAGGAAAGATACCGAACCATTCTGATGTATGATATTGAGGTAAGAAATAAAATAATTATATCCCAAAGTCAGCTAAATTGTCCGTGTCTCAAGCTTCATTGTATGATCAGGGTTGCCAATAAGTTTAAGAGAAGAAGGCAGTTAAAAAAAAAAAAAAGGTAGTCAGCCATAGTTCATCTCATAAACTGTGAAATGACTGCACTAAAATTATCTTGGATGGTCTTTCAGTGATTGTATGACTGTTTATCTGCACTTATGGTAAAATGTGGTGAAAGTCGCCGGCTATAGATGGCAGACTAAGCAGCTATTGTTTAGCTACTGCATGGCTCTTATCGACAGCTCTCATTTGTTCATGTCTGTATTGCACTTCTTTCTTATTGAAAGGTTCCCGAGAGCGAGCTGGAGCTGGCCACCAACATCACCCAAGCGTGGGATGACCTGTTCCTGGAATCTCGCACAGTGGACGCAAGTTTGGTCTCTGTTAAGAAGAAATTCACTGAGGTTAGTTTTGAGAACACATTTGTTGAAGAAGAGATGATACAATATTGTAATACATGGGTACCCAGGACTTGCATGTATTATCAACGTTGTTCTTAACTCTTTGATCTCAAGGAGTAACCAGCATCTAATTTCTCCTCACAGTATAACCGCTGAATCAAGCATTAAGGTCACGAGAAAAAAGGAAATGATCAGTGACCGAAGAAGTTCTTGATTGTGAAAGAAATTCTCTTTGTTAGCACCTTAGGAAATGCTTAGAGAACAGTATGGAGAATATGGATACTGATTTTAGGGTGTAAAGGGTTAGATCCATGTATGTCTGAACTTGGCTTTTAAGAGATGCAAAACAAAGTTATGCTCTTAGAAAAGTGGAAGCGTGAAGGCTCTCGTCTCCGAAATCTTGGGTGCCCTGTTCGAAAATACTTCCGTAAAAGCAAAGTTATACGAATTGCCTAAAGACAGAACCTTTTAGAACCTAGTTACCCGTGACACTCGCGCTCTGCTTGAGCACAGCCCTGGAAAAGGTTCAAAACTTACCCAATTTCCACACACAACTTTACATAATTTAATTTAACTCTACATGATGTAACACAAGTGAGCAATGAGTAAATCGCGTGTCATCTTTAGGTGATAAAAATGGATAACATTTATATTTCCTCATCAATATATCTATTTTGTAGATCACGCAAGATCAAGTTTCCGACTTCTCCAAAGACATTTCAAAGTTTAAAGAAAGCTTCATCAATGAAGGTCCAAGCTCTATTGGCACTGATCTTGAAGCAGGTAAATTTACGAAGCTTGATGTAAGGTTTTCTCAACTTTTCAACACCTATATAAAATCGAGATGAGAAGTATGATTTAATTTTCGATCTGCACTCGACTGTATTTTTTTCTTAGGTGTGGAACTGTTAAAGAAATTCAAAGAAGAGTTTGCAAACTTTGAAAAGGAGCGTCAAGAATTGGCGAATGCTGAAAAACTCTTTGGTCTTCAGATCACTCTTTACCCTGAACTACTGGACATGGAGAAAGAGCTGAAGGGATTGGATCAGATCTTTTCTATTTATGAGAATCAAAAGGCAAGTTGAGTGAAAAGTTATTCGAAAGATTTGCGCTTAAATGGAAGCAAGCCAAGTGTCAAATGTTTAGGGCGTCAGTGTTGCGGTAAATTCCCACAACAGAAATGGTGGGGCCAAACAAATGAAGCTGGCTTGTGCAAAGTTGCTCCAACCTCTCCATAGAATTTTCAAGACGTTTGTTTATCCCTAGCGATTCATTTTTCTTTGTCGTTTTTGCTGTGGTTGATAATTGTGATCACCTTACCTGAAGATTCAGACCAATTTTCTTTTGAATGTCGATATTATTCCAAGAATGCAATGGTCTTGCTTGATTTTGGTCTGTCTCTCTGGTCTAAAAATTTCGTACCACCCTCTAAACCAATCAGATGCAAAACAAAAGCCAATTGCGACTTGTACATCCGCGTTTTCCCGCGCTTCATACAGTTTGGTCCTTTTCACTATAAGAGTTTTCATTGGCTCCTGGTGATAGTTTCTGTCCCTCTGATTGGCCGTTTAATTAATTACTTATTACGTGTATGTTCCTGTCCATCAGGCGGCTCGCGATGAATGGGCCAACACGCTATGGGCCAACCTTGATGTGTCAGTGTTATCAGAGGGTATTGACGGGTTTATTAAACAACTCAAGAGACTTCCAAGAGAGGTGAAAGCCCTACCGCTGTGCCATATTCTGGAGGAGAAGATGAAGGAGTTTAAGAATTCCATTCCACTCTTTTCTGATCTGAAAAACGAGGCTTTGCGAGAACGGTAGGCAATGGGTCGTTGATTGTTGAACAAATTCTCCTTGCCAGTACCAGAAGAAAACTGATATTACTTTTAAAAAGTTTGGTTAATTGTGTTCTTTAATTTTTTCAACCGAAAAGGACGACAAAACGATAAAACTATGTAAATGTATAGCAATACAAACATAATTCAATTCTGTTGGATCGTTCAATTCCTTGTCATATCTTTTAAAAATTTTTTATTAACAAAATAGCATACAATGTATTCTTACCCTGTATAAAAAACCTTTTATTCATAGTCGGAAGGAAAAAGAAGGCCAATATGAAAAAAAGAGTACATTAATTCTGTAATTTTGACTTCTTTACCGAACAGCCATTGGAAGAAATTGATGGAAATGACAGGTATGAAGTTCGATCTCAATCCGGACACCTTCACACTTCAGAACATGTTTGCTATGGAGCTACACAAGTTCCAGGAGGTCATCGGTGACATCACGGCTAGCGCCACAAAAGAGCTTGGGATCGAGAAAGGTATCAGTGAAGTGGGTGATACGTGGGGCGCTATGAAATTCACTGTGTCCAAGTTTATGAAAGGAACCCAAGAGAGAGGCTTTATTTTGGGAGCTGTTGATGAAATCCTGCAAATACTGGATGACAATGCCATGAATTTGCAGAGTATGTCCGCCTCGCGGTTTGTGGGGCCGTTTTTGGAAACTGTTAACAAGTGGGAGAAGAGTTTGTCACACATTGGAGAGGTTGTTGAGGTAAGTGTCTGAGCAATAGTAAACTGAGTGTCGAAAGTAATTAAATTACATGTTCTATGATTTTGCTTTACCTCGCACTGTGATTGGTCCAGATTGGTCTGTGATTGGTCCAGATTGGTCTGTGATTGGTCCAGATTGGTCTGTGGCTAGTCTAGTGCTACTTTTTCATCCAATCAGGTTTAAATCTGAAATCATTCGCGACTTGGTCACCTATGTTTCCCGCGCTTCTTGCAGTTTGTTTGTTTTTACTTTCGGTTCTCATTGGCTCATTATGTTATTTCCTTTCTTCCGATTGTCTGTCGTAATTATTTGGTTTTGGACTTACGACGCTCAATCGAAATGTGCTCTAAAATTGCTTAAACAAGGTTAAATTTGGAAACCAACAGATAGGTACTTTGTCCTAAAAGGGCAACTAAACATCAAAACCACTCAATATGAAACTGCGAAGGAAATCTGTACCAGTCCCCATGGTAAGCCTTACTTGAGTTGGAATCTCGAAAAACCATCAACGTCTTAAGGAAACAGCTATGTCATGTAGCGTTGCAAATAATATCTGATATCCACTGTCTGGGATCGTTTTTTTTTCTAATCCTCCTCAGGTGTGGATGGTTGTGCAAAGAAAGTGGATGTATCTTGAGAGCATCTTCATCGGCGGAGACATCAGAGCTCAGCTTCCAGAGGAGGCCAAGAAATTCGATGACATCGATAAGACATTCAAGAAGGTTTGTAGCATGTTACGCTTCTGTGTTGCACGTGAAGGTGTGTGTGCTAAAGAATTAGTGATCGGGAGGAGGGGGGGTGGTGGCAGAGAGCAAGGGTTCTTGTCCAGACGTTTGGATACATCAGTTTCATTAATAACCAGTCCAACATCTAATTTCTCTCCACAATAACACTGCCGGATCATCCATTAAGACCATGAAAATAAAGGGAATGATCGCCAGTCAAAGAAGCTTTGATTGTTAAACGAATTTTCCTTTTCTCTTGGAAGAAAATTCAGAAGAAATCTGGGAAAACACCCTTCGTTCATCTCTAAATTTAACTATGAATTTTTCAGGGAAAAGCACGTCCCAGTTAACACCACAAATATCCCGCTCTGCTCTCTCATCTTTTCTTAGTTCGGCTCCCGTTAAGAGCACATTTTCTCCAATATCTGTGTCACTTGAATAATTCATCTTGCACTTTATGGTCTTCACCTTGTTTCTGTCTTCAGATCATGAGTGACACTGCAAAGAATCCAAAAGTGTTAGAAGCTTGTCACGCCGCCAGTCGTCTGGAGCAGCTGCAGATGTTGGTAGCTGGTTTGGAGAAGTGTCAGAAGAGTTTAAATGATTACCTGGACTCCAAGAGAAACGCCTTCCCAAGGTTCTTCTTTATTTCTGACGACGAACTGCTCTCTATTCTCGGCAGCCATGATCCACAGTGCGTGCAAGAACATATGATCAAGGTAACTGAGTACGACGCAATCAGGGCCAATTTTATTGCTTAATGGCGAGTGGCAAATTTACCTCTGATTTTGCTTACTTTTCCTCTAATTGTTTATTAGAGCCAGTTGACAACAATGACAAATACTTCAATTTCACGTGCGCAAACATTTTAACCCTTCTACCACCAAGAGTGACTAGCATCTAATTTCTCCTTAAAATATCCCTCCTTAATCACACACTAAAGTCATGAGAATGAAGGAAATGATCACCAACACCTTAGGAAATGTATAGAGAACAATAAGGAGAATTTGCATACTGATGTTAGGGTGTAATGGCTTAAGGCAGTCAGTAAATTTTGCCTTTGTTGTTTGCGCACATGTGGTTCTAAAATCTTTATAGTTAACCTCTTTGGGACATACAATAAGTAGGTTATATGCTGTTTCTATCTGGCTCTGAAGACAAGACTTGATGAGCCCTTACAACTTCTAAAGATTAGCAAAGGCATGTTCTGTCCACTGCTGTGGTGATTTCTTAATGATAAAGAGAGGAAGCGCATAGAGAGGGAAAGAGCGAAACGGAGCGTTCATTTTCTTTTACTCTAACAACCCCTCGCGTTCATGTTCGTTAAATCCCTGGCGGCTCCTATTTCGCGCGCGCTGTGGGCGATGATCTTAGAGAGAATACAAGGATTGTCAACACATCATCTGAAGCATGGGCTTGGCATTATCTCTAACCTGTTTTAAACGCAGTTATCACCAAGTAATCGCAACTTGTATGCGGCGCAGCTTCCTTCAAAAGCTAATCATTTACTTTCTAATTTTATTGGTTCTCGTCTTTTACAGATGTTTGACAACATTGCTAAGTTGCGTTTCGAAGAAGGAACTGGTGAAGAGATGTTGGCCACTGCCATGCTCAGTAGCGAGGCTGAAGTGATGGAGTTCAGGCAGCCAGTGGCGGCTGAGGGACGAGTGGAAGACTGGATGACAAACGTGCTGAATGAAATGAGAAGGACTAACAGACTCATTACGAAAGAGGCCATCTTTAAATATGGCGGCGAACTGTCCAGGTATAAGTTCTTTCTTTACCTTACCATTAAATCTCTACGAGCGACCAGCATCTAATTTCTCCTCGCAATATCACCCTGGATCACACCTTAAGGAAACGATCACCAACTTTAGAAGCTCTTGATTTTTAAATAAATTCTCCTTTTGATAACCATAGGAATGTATAGAGAACAGTACAGAGAATATGCGTCCTGATGTTAGGTTGTAAAGGGTTAAGCTTTAATGATCTGTGGCTAAGGTTGTGTTTGCTTTAGCATTACGATTTTGTTGTTAAAAAATTGTTTCCTTAGCGTCCCAGACAGTTTTGAAGAAATTAAAAAAAAAAAAAACAGGTGTTCTAAGCCTTCGTCTGCCTTGCTTGTTGCGTAAATGTAAGGTCTTTTTTTCGCACAGTGGTCAGTTGAAACGAAAATTTGAAAGAGTGTCGTAAAAAAGCGTGGGAAAACGTGGGTGACCAAGTCACGATTAGTTTTAGTTTTGAATCTGATTGGCTAGGAAAGTTGACCAATCATGTAGGGACGTAAGGCAAAACCTTTTGGAAACTGCTCTTTTAAGTTTATGTTACTGTCTGGTAACATTTTAGATGTCTTTGTTTTTTTTTTCTCTAGAATTGACTGGATGATGGAGTATCAAGGAATGGTGGTACTGGCTGGAAACCAAGTTTGGTGGACATGGGAAGTTGAGGATGTGTTTAGAAAAGTGAAGAAAGGAGACAAGATGGGAATGAAAAACTACGCTAAAAAGATGCACAAACAAATCAGCGACCTTGTTGAAAAGGTATTTTGACACTGGCTTTTGGTCAGTTAAATAGATTAATAAAAAAATGAATTAATAGATAAATGATTTCAGAAGCAGTTAAGATAAATTACATAAAAAAGTGGCAATGTGTGGAGAACTATTTTGCTTATTAGAAACGCTTAAACTGTTTATGCGCATATAAATAGCGTGAGGAAATAAGAAGTAAAGATTATGTTATATTTCTAATCTAACAATTTGATATGAAAACGTACAATCCCAGTCTGTTGCCATGAAATCAAAATTACCATCGTCCGAGACAATATTTTATCTTCTATGGAAGTTTTGCGTAACGTGACTCGCTTCATGAAGTAAGCTGTTTACACTTTTTTCTTTTATGTAAAGCTTGTGGTATTTTTTTTTCAGGTTCGTGAGCCAAACCTGACCAAAAATGATCGCAAGAAGTTCAACACAGTGCTGATCATTGAAGTTCACGCCAGAGACATTATTGACAGTTTTGTTCGAGACAGGTGAGAATAGTGACACGAACTAACCAGGGGTTTCTATAAAAGCCATTTATTGGTCTACCGCCGCCTAGAGGACCTCTTACCGCTGCGTACGTCCCCTTTTCCGTACACAGCTGCCAATTACACCATCGGAAGCCGCTTATGGATAAAGTAATTGAAACCGCTGGGGCTAACTAGTCATAAAATGTTTTGCTGCTTTATTTTTAGCTAATTTATTTTGTCTCAGACAATCAGATGCAGATCTATCATCAATCACAACTAAGTCGCACATGCTTTCCTTTGCATAAGGTTGGCGGTTTGTTTGTCTTTATATACCTTGAGCTCTCAATGAGTCTTCATTGGGTCAGATTGAGCTCTAGGAAGGAGGGAAAATGTTGAGGCTCTTGTTAACTAAAGTTGAGAATGATCATAATTCCCCCTGTTTTCCTGACAGCATCATGGACACGCGTGAGTTCGAGTGGGAGAGTCAATTAAGGTTCTACTGGGATCAGTTACCAGATGAGTTGATGGTGCGTCAGTGTACAGGCGAGTTTGGTTATGGATACGAGTACATGGGACTAAATGGACGCCTGGTCATCACCCCCCTGACAGACAGAATATACCTGACTATCTCTCAGGTGATGTGTTTAAGTGTGTAACAAATTTAAAGGGGGGGGGGAGGCAGTGTAGTTATTAGATGAACGTTTGGTGTTTTATAATCCTACTGAATTGTAGTTTTACGCCTCTTTTCCCTTCTTTTTGTAGGCCTTGTCCATGTACCTCGGTGGTGCCCCCGCAGGGCCGGCCGGCACTGGAAAAACCGAGACAGTGAAGGATCTGGCTAAAGCTCTGGGATTACTGTGTGTTGTAACTAACTGTGGAGAGGGTATGGACTACAAGGTGAGCTAAACAGGTTTTGTGGATGTCATGTGATATAGGTAATTTGCGTCACGCTTACGCCTCTCGCAATTGAGTGAGAGCTATGGCTTCGACGACCTGCATAGAGTGGCAGTCAAACCCTTGCTGTTTGACAGAATGTCTTTACATTTTTGACCAGCTACTTAATTTTAAAAGTTATGTTTGTCGTTGCTAGCCACCCTTTAGAGTGTGTGACTCGAAACTGAGGGAGTCGAATTTGTTGCAATATTTTCACATATCAGTCTACAAACGCATGAGTTTCTTACTTTTTTCTCCTCTAGTCCATCGGCAAGATCTTCTCAGGCCTGGCGCAGTGTGGTGCCTGGGGTTGTTTTGACGAGTTCAACCGTATTGACGTGTCTGTACTATCAGTTGTCTCAACACAGATTAAAACACTGCAAAACTCACTCAGCAACCATCTTAAGAGACTACAGGTGAACTCACGTCTACCTTATCTAAATCTTGACTTAATTTGCATGAAGAAAAATGGTAAACGTAATAACAAACCCGTCTCAAGCGTTACAAACTATAGACAGTTTAGGGCAATTAAGTTTCGTAAATAATCTGAGATTACCTTAGTTTTTTTTAACCCTCTACGCTCTTACATTACCTTTAATATTCTCCGTACTGTTCTCTGTACATTTACTAAGATGCTGACAAGGAGAATTTGCACCGCCCTCTCAAACAATTAGATGTAAAAACAGAAACAAAGTTTCCTTAGTCATTCGCGTTTTCCCGCGCTTTATGTGACTTGCTTGTCTTTGCTTTTAGTCTCGTTGGTGAATTGATCTAATTGGTCGCTTTGATTATCTTTGGTTGTGGTTTTTCGTAGTAGTCGAAAACTGCTCTAAAGAAAGACGTAAGACTTTGTCAAGAATGTGAGACAAAAGGAAATCCAAGGTCTCCGTGAGGATACAGACTATAGCTATTCCTTCTAGTTATTCTACCAACTGGTCCACAGAGATATCTATAGGGAGCACTTGTTAACCAAATTGTAAACTAATTTCTTCTCCTTGAACAGTTTGAAGGTACAGAGATAGCATTGGATGGTCGTATGGGGATTTTCATTACCATGAACCCTGGCTATGCAGGTCGTACAGAACTTCCTGAGAGTGTCAAAGCTCTGTTCAGACCTGTTATGTGTATTGTGCCAGACCTGCAACAAATCTGCGAGATCATGCTTTTCTCCGAAGGGTTTTTATTGGCCAAGGTAAGACAGACGAAAAAGAAAATACGATTTAGAGATCGTCTGAATTTAGGGTCAATAGTAATCAGGAATTGTTTTTCTTGGCTTTTATGATTGGCGTTAGAAACTTACGTCGCTTACCCAAACTATCAAATGCAAAACTTAAGTCGATCGTGACTTGGTCGCCTGCTTTATCTTGCGCTTAAGGATGGAGACATTTATTTACCTGGATAATAAACATTTATTCTGCTTTGCTGATCTGAATATTTTGGGTTAAGTTTCACGACACTCACTCACTCACTCACCCGGGATAGAAGGGGATGGACGCTTTTTCGAGGCTGGGTGCTTATCAACTTTTCCTACCAACAGGGTCGGCGCTTAATCGAGATGGGCGCTTTTCCGGGGTTGGACGCTTAATCGATGAAATACGGTTCACGCATGGCATGCATCTAGTTAAACATTATTGTAAATTCCTACTTTTTACAAAGGTTCTTGCCAAGAAGATGACAGTACTTTACAAACTTGCGTCAGGACAGCTCTCCAAACAATCTCATTACGACTTTGGGCTTCGTGCACTGAAGGCTGTACTTGTGATGGCAGGAGAACTGAAGAGAGGTTCTCCTGATCTGAGCGAGGTCAGTTTCAGTTCGTGTTTGAAACGGAGAAACGATTACACAAGTATCTATAGAAATACTCAGGTTGTAAATCTAGTGAAACACTGTTCCACTGTCAAGGTTTAGGCGTTCGACTTTAATACCTTAACTTCTCTGAACCATTTCTTTTCTTAACCGTTCAATAGTTTTTCTCTTGTCCAGGTCGCATGTCGCTAGGAAGCTTAGTACATTCAGGGTAAAAACGCCTAGCATCTCCAGTAGTGTTAAGTTCAGAAGAGAGAGTCACTCGAGACCAATTTTCCAGTAAATGTAGAAACATATTTGTTGTTTGTTGACGTTTGCTAACCCCCTACATATTTCTTTCACTGCCTTTACCTACGTTAACTCTGAAACAGAGGTCACGGTTCAAAGGTACCCACTGCTATCTCAACTTCTCTATTGAATTTTTATTTCTTTCAGGATGTAGTGTTAATGCGTGCGTTGCGTGACATGAACTTGCCAAAGTTTGTGTTTGAAGACGTACCACTCTTCCTCGGTCTCATAGCGGACTTGTTTCCAGGCCTTGATTGTCCAAGGGTACGGTACCCAAATTTCAACGACGCAGTTGAAGCAGTGTTACAGGACAATAAATACATTTTACTTCCACATCAGGTAAAGCATAATTCATAACGTCTCATTTCGAGAGGGAATTTTTCTCAGGATCCAGCGAATACAATTTAAGGGCGCGTTCCATTTGACTGGAAAATATTTTTACTGCACCTTTTGAGGGTAGTATCCGGAACGTGCAAACTGTCTGGCTCTGAGAGAAAAGGGGGAAATCTTTTGGGAAAATTGTCTTCTTTTCGAGTCACCTTTTTTTCATTTACATTGGCTTCCTAGAAGTTTCGACATCATATCGCTCTTTTAATGTTTAGCTTGAGGTAGTTGAAAGATTTGTAGTTCAACTAATATACATGCTGTCTCTACGTAACAGGCCGATAAAGTTGTTCAAATGTACGAGACCATGTTGACACGACATACAACCATGATCGTGGGCCCCACTGGAGGAGGAAAGACTGTTGTTATTAACACATTAGCGCAGGCGCAGACACGGTAAGATGAATTCTTCACCTACGTCAATTGCTTGCGAGTAGGCCCTCATTTTTTGCGTCTAACCGCTATCAGGGAGACACAGGCCTAAGGCACTTCAAACCTGAATATGTGTTTAGGCTTTCCTTTCTGCAATTGAATTTACTCCAGCGGATCTTTTCATTACTCACCATTCTGAGGTCAAATGTGACTTAGCGGTTATCAAATGAATTTGGAAATGTAAGGGCTACGGAATGAATGTTAGCATCTGAGCAACTACCCCTCCCCTAGCCCACTTTAGACTTAACTTGTTATCAGTTGACTGTTGTTGGGTTAGGGGAGGGGTAGGTTCGCAGTTGATACTGACATCGATACGGCCATCATCTTCTGGCGCAACTAGTCTTCCGTTTTACTGACCTAACTTTTGTTTAATCTCAAGTCTGGGCATAACTACAAAGATGCATATTATGAATGCCAAGGCATGCACAGTGGTGGAACTGTACGGAACGCTGGATCCTGTCACTAGGGACTGGACTGATGGATTACTGTCCAACATCTTCCGTGAGATAAACAAACCCACTGATAAAAACGAACGTAAGTACATCGTGTTTGACAGCGATGTGGACGCCCTGTGGGTAGAGAACATGAACTCTGTGATGGACGACAACAGACTGTTGACTTTGGCTAATGGCGAGAGGATTCGGCTTCAGAAACACTGCGCCTTGCTGTTTGAGGTAACTTCAGTTTAAAATATTGACCAATGCACGCTCTTCCCATTTGAAACCTCCTTTTTCATATTGGTGCATTGTTGACTCCGTTGAATTGGGTGATCATATTGCATGTGGCTGTAACGAATTGTTGGTTAAAAATTACTTTTGAAAAAAAAATGTTGCTCATCTAAGGTCTTTGTAAATTTTCCACCAGGTAATTTTATTTGGAAAATTGACTTCTCATAATTTGTACGTTAAAAACTCTGCGACGAGAAGAAGAGAAAATTTTTAACCTTATTAAGAAACTAAAATATCGCAATTCCCAACTCAGGTTTCAGATCTTCGTTACGCTTCTCCGGCCACTGTGTCCCGTTGCGGAATGGTGTACGTGGATCCTAAGAATCTGGGCTACAATCCTTACTGGCAGAAATGGTGCAATGCTCGAGGAAATGACAAGGAACGAGAAGAGCTCAACAGACTCTTTGAAAAATATGTGCCTCCTTGCATCGATTTGATTCTGGAAGGAATCATCGAAGGAAAAATCGGAAAGAAGTTGAAGACGATTATTCCTCTGACTAATCTTAACATGGTAGGTGATGGTTCTGTTCAGAAAAATGTTTGCTAACTAATTATCAAAAAGCTACGTGTGGAGTGACGTGGTGCACCAGCTTACTAGGTGGACTCTGGATGTACAGGGCCTGGTTCGAGTCCTGGCCAGTTTTTTTTTTTTCGAGAAAGAGATTTTACTGTCCCTATGCTTCTCTCTGGCAATGAGTAAAAACTAACATCGACGTGCTGATACGAAAAATATGGGATCAATGTCATTTTTTGAGCAACTGCACACCTGCCCCTCCTCTAACCCGATTTTGCTATCAATTTACTTATGTTGGGTTTGGGGATGGGTTGGTGCGTCGTCGCTCCGATACTGACATTGATCAAAAATATGTTGGTAGAGGATGATGAAAAGTGTTTCATTTCATGATCTGTCGTCACATCCAGGAATGGTAGAAACGTGTTGTGCAAGTTTTAAACTTGATTCTCTCAGCAGTTACTTGTAATGAATAATTTTTTTTAATGAATATATTTCCCTCCAGGTCGTACAATTGTCCCAGATGCTCGATGCACTGCTTCCCCCTGCAGAAAACGCTCAATTCCTGGGAACTGAAACAACAGAGGCTGTTTTCCTGACCTCGTTGACTTGGTCGCTAGGGGGAGGCCTACTGGAGGATGGGCGGATTGTTTTTGATGGATTCGTGAAGAGGATCGCGTCTTTACCTCAGAATCCAGCGGAAGGAAGCGTTGTTAAACCAGGTTTGAATTCAATTTCTTCAACGATGAAGGGCTGACACTCGAAACATCAGCTTTAGAAATTCTATAAGTTGTTCAATCTACAATTTTCATCTTTTTTATTTTTTTCATTTCTTTTATGGTATATAAGGGGACAAATTATCTTGTCACAGTTTCGCCAAGGCTGAAAAGGCATTAAGAAAAATATTCTTACATCTGAAAGCCGTAGAATTTGTGTTTACTTTTTTGGAATCGTTTTTGCTTTTGAGACATAACAAGAAGTGGTTTTCAAGCCGTTTTCCCACCTTTTTTCATGTATGTCAGGTGAGATCCCGAGCGCTCAGCCCACAGTATTCGAGTATTATTTCGACACGAAAAAGGGCCTTTGGGTACCCTGGGTTGACGTCATCCCTAAGTACGTCCACGACCCCGAGAAAAAGTTCTCGGAGATTTTGGTGCCCACTGTGGACACTGTCAGGACAACATGGCTGCTTGAGCTGATGGTTAATATTAAGAGACCTGTGGTACTTGTGGGGGAGACTGGGACCTCCAAATCGGCAACAACAGCGAATTTCTTGAGGGGACTTGATAAAGATGCTACGGTATGTTGTACATAAAGGAAATTCAGTAATCAAGTAATATTTTGACTTTTTTTCTTAAAGAAACAAAATAAACTGACTGAGTGGAGAGGAGATTTATGTTTCTGAACATAAGTAATTGAACGGCATCACTCGACTGCGATGTATTTTTCATTGAAATTAACTCATGTTCGAGCCAACTATTCTTTTTGGCTTTGCCTTGTTCAGTTATGCATTAGTTATTTATCTCTTTGTTTCTGTTTGATAGCTTCTTCTCAACATCAACTTTTCGTCTCGAACGACGTCCATGGACGTACAAAGGAATCTCGAGGCAAACGTAGAGAAGAGAACAAAAGACACTTACGGTCCCCCCATGGGTAAGAGACTGCTGGTGTTTATGGATGACATGAACATGCCGCAGGTTGATGAGTACGGAACACAGCAACCAATCGCGTTACTGAAATTACTCCTTGAGAGGGGAGGCATGTATGACAGAGGAAAGGAACTCATCTGGAAGAACTTCAGGGATATTGGCTTTGTAGCCGCCATGGGAAAGGTACAG